ATTTCTTCTAAACCCACAAGGGATCTAGAAAACCCCCAAACAACCCTATTTTGGATACATTTTTATTGCATTTCTTTTTCCTTCAAGACCATCGTGAATTCAAAGACATAGTTTCTATACATATTGAAATAAAAAAAGATTTTGAAGATAAATTAAGCATGTTGGTTTTTGCCGAAAACTTGGTTTCAATACGTGACGAAAAAATTTACATCGAAATAACTGAAAAAATGATTCAAAAAATAAAAATATAAGAATTCAAGTGATTCACAATGGTGAATTTTTTGAATCGTTAAAATCCGCACATACTTCGACGGGCCATGGCGCGGCGGTGTGCACAAAATGCATAATAATTTATAGGACAAATATGCTAATATTACAACACTAAAAGATGTGCATGAGAAAAGAAAACAATTTTGTTCAATTCAAGATATCACAACTCAATGAGTATAGTACAAATAAATAAAGCATTATAAAAATAATAATTTTAAATTTGTATCAATCTATATTAATAAAATCAGACTTTTGTCTGTACATTGCTCAGATTCTAAAATTTTTGACATAGTTTGTCGTTATGAACAACAAGGAGAAAAATAAAAGAAATTTATGGCTATAAAAATAGTCATAAATAATTTGTGTCTGTATGTATGTGTGTATGTATGTATGTCCACAATATTTTGTTCCAGCATCACGTAAGAACGGTTTGACCGATTGTAGTGAAACTTGGCAGTCTCTTAGGTATTAACCTAACTTAAAATTTTTGCCATACCCGATTAAAAAATATTAATTTGTATGGAAGATATGCTATTTTTTTAAAAATTCGAAAAATCAATTTCTTAATAGATTGTTTCTAAACTTTCTATTCTTGGGTATTTAAATTAAATGTTATTTTGTTTGTACCAATCTGTAATTATAAATTACAGATTTGTAATCACACAGCAGCAAAAATTCGACGAATATATTATAGAAGAGCCATAGAAAATGTAGTATATTATCGCTTATAATCATAGTATTCTTTTGAGTGCATGTATTTTTGTAATGGAATATTCGATAAGTTTTTGGTGCTGTGTCGGTGAGTTGTATGACTGGTTACCTCTACGTGGTGCATCTTGGAAACAATATCATTGAAATGTTTCAATTTAATAAAAAAAAATTTAATTTGGTAAAATTAAGTTTAAGCAATGTAAATAAATTCTGAGCAATTTACAGACGATCCTGATGAAAATACTAAGTAAATACTAATACTTTTTGTACGAAAATATTATCGGTCACGCACCAACAGATGTCGAGACCCGCCGAAGGCGGGGTCGACAGCTGCTATAGAATAATTTATTATTTGTTAATATGTGATTACTTTGCATTAATACATTTGTAAATTCTATTTTCTAATCTCTTAATAATTAAATAGTATTTTTCGATATAAGTGTCCAAGCAAGCGTTTTGCCCATTACAAGTGTAATGGCCGTACGCTCGCGAGGCAACATGTATCGAACGATATTTTTCTTTATAAGTGCAAAATACTTTGCTCATCGTCTGCGCGTGCGGTAAGGGATTCGACTATTTCAGATAGCTGTAAGTAAGTGGTTCCCAAACAAGGTTTTTGCATGCACGTATAAACAAAAAGTTTTTTTTAATCGACTCTGCGTACACCACAACAAATGTTTTTGATGAAATTGTACAAAACACGTTGTATCAAGTTCGCTCAGTATATAAAACCCGAGAATTTTAACTTTGTACCATTCGCGATTTGTTCAAAAATCCTTGTACACCATACGCTTTGTTAGTTTTATTATCTGTAAATAAAAAATTTGCATGAAGTACCTTGTTTGCTCCATTTTCCTTAAGGGGGGGTATGGTTAATTCGGTATAAAAAAGGCACTTTTTTAATAATTTTTTTCGGTGATATAAAGTGTGTTTCTTTATTAACTTAATTTCCACATATTAATACAATATTTGAAGTATATTTTCCTAAATTCTCATTGAAAAATATTGCAAATTGAACGAGTGGAAGTAAATCTCTTCAGGCGCCTCGTAAAAAAATGGATTTGCGGTGTTCAACGTAACTTGCAACAGAATCATCTAAATCAAAAAAAAAATTTTTGTTAAAGGAGATGTTTTTCGAGGTAGGGTCAGCCGGGGTAAATCCGAACGGGGGGTAAATCCGAACGCTAATTATTTTAGCTTAATTAAAATTTTTAAAAATAAGTTCGATATGAGAATTTTTACCTCAGATCCTCTTCAAGAGATTCTAAGTATTATCCCATTTTTCGTTTGTTAATTAGCAACAGCATAAACAAAGATAACGAGTATTGCAAAAAAGATTGAAAATCAAAGATGACACTCTTTCAGTATTTTGTCTCGTATTTGAAGAAAAAGAAGCTAAAAATTTATTTTATTATTTATAATTGTTTGTTATGAATACTAGAACAGAAACTATTTTTCATTTTTGCCTTCTGTAAAATTTAATTATTAATAATATCAGACCGTTCGTATTTACCCAGGAAAATTGGAAAACCGGGGTAAATCCGAACGGTATTTTCAATAATTTTTTTTTACATCAGAGCCACACAAAATTGTTTTTATTTCATTACACTATTATTTTAACATTATAAAAGTACATAGAAAAAAGTTTTTCTTTCTATACGTATCCTCGTTAGTAATTAATAAGCAGAAACTTAATCTCTGTTCTCTCGAAGGAGTGTTTCAATTTTTTTGCCAAATGGTTTGTTGAAAAAAGTTTTTCAGGATCTTAATAAAATTTGGTATTCTACGGTTTTTGGGGTCGCTGATTACCAATTTGAAGTCAGTTTTTCAAAATTCAAAATGGCGGACAAGAATTAAAAAATTCATTGGATTCGCTCGAAAATTGTTACTCGGGGGGTTTCAGGGTTAGTAAATTTGATCATTTTTAAAAATAAGTTTTAGGAAAGTCCGCCATTTTGAATTTAAAAAATTTGACTTTTATTTTTGTATTTACATTCAATCACTCCAAAATACTTTCTGAACCAAGTTTTGCAAAAATCCGTTATGATTTGATAAAGTTATTGAAGGTTTTAATTGTGTAATGCATTTTAATTTTTAACCTGTTTGAATTTTGTATTTATATATGATGCATTATTACATAATAGGTTTATTATCGAATTTTTTTTGAGTTTTTAGATAAGTTTAATAATTGCAATACTTTAAATTTATTTTCCCTAAGATTTTTCTGAAATACAGTGGCGATCGTATTTACCCCGCACTGTAAAAAGAAAGTACTAAAACAGTACCGATTTTAGGTATCAAAATAGAACCAAATGACAAGTTCGTACCTGAAGTCGGTATTAAATTAATACCTTTCTTTTTACAGTGCGGTATTTTAGGAAAGTTGCAAAGTATCGAGGTAAATACGAACGCTAAGTTTCCTGCGATTGTAATTTATCAACAATTTTTGCTACCCTATAAAATTGTTCTATGGAAGTAAAGTAACAACTTCATGCACCAGAATACCGGAAGTATTTTTTTTAAAGAAAAAACTTATGTTATTGTTGAAACTTACTAAAAGCGTTCGGATTTACCCCGGTTGACCCTAACTACGAGAGAGTTTTTTTTTATTTTTCGCAGCACTTGAAACCGAAAAACTCGATTTTCGCTGAAAAAATCGATCTATTTTTTACTGTATAATTAGTAATTATTAAAAAAAAGCTCTCGTAGTTACCTGGGGAATTTAGTCAAGAAGAACTGTGCCAAATTTCAGAACGACTGGTTCAGTAGATTTTGAGATATCGTGAACACGGACTTCAAAAATGTCATTTCGAGAAAAACGCAAATTTTAATTTTGACAAATTTTAAAATCTGACTTCAGATTCGTAATTAGCGACCCCAAAACTTATACATACACATTAACGACATTAGAAAACATTCAGAAATCTCCGCAATAGGTTAAACACAAATTAAATTCAAAATATTCGAAAACAGCCCGCGGAACAACCGACACTTGAATGCTCAAATGCTCATAACTTCGTCAATTTTGCTCCGATCGGCTTGAAATTTTTTGCCGTTATTTTTGAAATATTATATATTCATTTTAAAAAAATGCAAAAAAAAATTAAATACCATACCCTCCCTTAAGTGAATGTAGTAGTGAATTGAGTGAGAGACTTAAACTATGTAATTTCTCCTGAATTGACTGCAATCTGTTTCATTTGCAATCAGAATAATCAATTATGTCTGCAGCGATTTTGCATTCTCTATTAACGCCATCAATATGTAATCAGATAACTGCATTACTGAAGGTAGTAGGCAGACTTACTAAATAGTCTCGTGGAGTGGAGTAAAGAGAATCCAGTGTAGATTATACCGCAGCTAATGATTGTTAATAAATCTAGTGCTTATTACTAGCGCATAGTGTTTAAAAACAATAAAACCTATTGATCCGAATTGCGAAATGAAGTTAAGAAAAAACCACATTATGTTAAAAGTCACTGAGCAGGAATGTACGTGGGCAATGAAATCCTCACTGAATGATATAGTTGCAAAAATGCGCAGGCGTCAAATTGGCAATAATAATCCGTCTTCTTTGTTCAGTTGTATCGTTTAAATGAATTAACTGTTGTTTGCCTAACAAGCGATGCAAAATTCAAAATGTGATTATTCTTTTAGTACTCTTATAAAATACGATAAACAAGTTGTAAATTCTGATGTTCATTACATGAACATTTTGCTTCCTCTTTACGATCAGCAAAAAAATTTGCTTCCTCGTGGAGAAAGCATTAACATTGAAATAAACATACAAAAATAATATAATAATATAAACATTTGAGTACCTATACATTTGAGTTAAATTTAAAGAATTAATGGAAGTTAAAAAATCAAAAATTCATATTTTAACCGAAATTTCTAAGTATTAATGAAACATAATATATAATTTATAATTATTTATAATTATATCGATTCGTTTTAATGCAAGGAACACAATTATTTTATATTTAAACTTGAATTTAAATAAATACAACATTTTTCAGCGTGAGTGGTGAGTGGTGAGGGGTTTCCAGAGGACTGGAAGATTAGGCATATCATTTTCAAATATGGTGGATCGATCAGCTGGATCTCTGGAGGAAGAACAAACATAATATATAGGGCCAGCGCACATTAGATTCTTAAACAGGAATGCAATCGGAATCGTTAGAATAAGTTGGAAAAGGACCATACACATAAAAAAATTTTCGATTGGTTTAATCGAAAGTTCGGTTGTTACAAACGAACTGTCTTGTCAAAGTAAGACTGAACGAACTCTCGGTTTCAAGTCACCGAACAAGTTCGGTTGTATTTAGTTGGGTTACATCAACCGAATTAATGGTTTGTTTAAAGTAAACACAATATTGATGTCTTAGTTCTTTTGTATACTTAAGAGGGAGTGACACCTTTGACCCGAAAAAAATGATTTTTTTTAAAACGATACTTTATGATGCGTAGAATAGAAATTTTGGCCCCATACAGTGGGCCAAAAGTCCAAATGTCTTTAAAATTGCCTGAATCTCGTTACTCGGGGGTTTTTGGGGTCGCTGATTACGAATCTGAAGTCAGATTTTAAAAATTTTCAAAATTCAAGATGGCGGATCCAATATGGTGGACATTTTTATTAAAATTTAATCAGATTCGCTTGAAACTTGCTACTCGGGGGTTTTTGGGGTCGCTGATTACGAATATAAAGTCAGATTTTCAAAATTCAAAATGGTGGATCCAATATATCGACCAAAATTTTTTTTAAAATTATCAGATTTGCTTGAAACTTGTTACTCGGTGGTTTTTAGGGTCGCTGATTACGAATCTAAAGTCAGATTTTAAAAATTTTCAAAAATCAAAATGGTGGATTCAATATGGCGACCAAATTTTTTTTAAAATTATCAGATTTGCTTAAAACTTGTTTCTCGGGGGTTTTTGGGGTCGCTGATTACGAATCTAAAGTCAGTTCTTAAAAATTTTCAAAATTCAAAATGGTGGATCCAATATGTCGACCAAAATTTTTTTTTAAATTATCAGATTTGCTTGAAACTTGTTACTCTAGGAATTTTGGGGTCGGTGACTACGAATTTGAATCTGGATTTTGTAAAATAAGATTGGTGGTTCCAAAATGGCTAATAAAATATTTAAAAATTGGATGGATTCGGCACCTTTAACTCTATAAACCACCCCTTTCACATTATTCAAGTAGTTGTTTTAAATTTTTCTTCCATACAAATTTAGGCTTCATTTAAAGGATCTTAAATATCATAAAAGTAATTTTTCAAAATACTACCCTTAATCCCCAAAACTACCCCTTAATATAGAAATTTAATATTTTTTAAAATTTACTCTACATAAATCTTTTATAATTTTAGCTAATTTGAGGCTTTTAAATGGCCTTAAATTAAATTTTGAAACATCTACCCTTAACTCCAAGAACCTCGTCCTTTAAATATTTAAATTACTTTTTTAAAATTTTTCCTTTCCTTTATAAAAATTTTTTCTATATCATTTTTTTACAATTTAAGCACAACTAAAACTTTCAAATATTCTCAAATTGAATTTCAAAAACTGTCCTTAACTCTAAAAACCTTAACCTCAAAAATCAGCCTCATTACATTTAAGTTTATAAATGCAATCAAATTTCACAATTTCATCCGCCATATTGGCTCCACCATTTTGAATTTATAACAACTTTTACATCAGAATCGTGATCTGTGACCTGATTTTTAAAAGTTGACGTAAGATTCGTGATCATCGACCCCAAAAAAACCCGAGTAACAAGTTTCAAGGAAATCTGATAATTTTTAAAAATTTTGGTCGCCATATTAGATCCGCCATTTTGAACTTTGAAAATCTGACTTTATATTCGTAATCAGCGATCCAAAAACCCCCGAGTAGCAAGTTTCAAGCGAATCTGATTAAATTTTAATAAAAATGTCCGCCATATTGGATCCGCCATCTTGAATTTTGAAAATTTTTAAAATTTGACTTCAGATTCGTAATCAGCGACCCCAAAAACATAAGAGTGACACATTATCCAACAAGTTGCAATTTTATTCTCAAGGTAATTAATACATTTGTTTGCTGAGTAAGTAAAAAAATTTGCAAAACATGGTACAGTAAAGACGCCATTTGGAATTTTTTAATTCGCCACTTTTTATTCGAAGCAGTATGAGCTGACGATTATTTTGAGCAGTAATAAGTTGATTTTCGTTGATTAGAATTTTGGATGGAGCTCTGGGCCGGTTGACGTGAAACGTCCCCCACACAGCACAACATCTTACACCAGGCCTACAGCAGGCTTACATGTAAGGTTTGTAAGGTAACATCGTAAGCCCATAGTAGACTTACAGTAAACCTAAAATGTCCGCCTTACAGTAAGCTTACATGGTAGGGTCGAGGTAAGCTTACATGGTAGGGTCGAGGTAAGCTTACACGGTAAGGTCGAGGTAAGCTTACACGGTAAGGTCGAGGTAAGCTTACACGGTAAGGTCGAGGTAAGCTTACATGGTAGGGTCGAGGTAAGCTTACATGGTAGGGTCGAGGTAAGCTTACACGGTAAGGTCGAGGTAAGCTTATGAGTAAAGGCTGTGGTAAGGTTATTATTAAGTTGTAAGGTTGAGGTAAGGTTGTGGTAAGCTTACAAGGTAAGGCAAGTTATATTCAAATAATAATATTAATAATAAATAAATATTCAATAAAAAAATTTTTCTTTTGCCTTATTCTATTTTGGGAACCTATCATTTCGCAGAAAGTTTTGAAAACAAATTTGGGAGGAGTAGGATTCGAACCCGGGACCGAAGTATATACCTAACAACCTAACCAACTGAGCTAAACGGGGAACTGACAATGAGAAAAGTAATCTTACTTTTAAAGTGGAACCAAGAAGATAATCAACTCCTTAAAAGCAAGATTACTTTTCTCATTGTCAGTTCCCCGTTTAGCTCAGTTGGTTAGGTTGTTAGGTATATACTTCGGTCCCGGGTTCGAATCCTACTCCTCCCAAATTTGTTTTCAAAACTTTCTGCGAAATGATAGGTTCCCAAAATAGAATAAGGCAAAAGAAAAATTTTTTTATTGAATATTTATTTATTATTAATATTATTATTTGAATATAACTTGCCTTACCTTGTAAGCTTACCACAACCTTACCTCAACCTTACAACTTAATAATAACCTTACCACAGCCTTTACTCATAAGCTTACCTCGACCTTACCGTGTAAGCTTACCTCGACCCTACCATGTAAGCTTACCTCGACCCTACCATGTAAGCTTACCTCGACCTTACCGTGTAAGCTTACCTCGACCTCACCGTGTAAGCTTACCTCGACCCTACCATGTAAGCTTACCTCGACCCTACCATGTAAGCTTACTGTAAGGCGGACATTTTAGGTTTACTGTAAGTCTACTATGGGCTTACGATGTTACCTTACAAACCTTACATGTAAGCCTGCTGTAGGCCTGGTGTAAGATGTTGTGCTGTGTGGGCCCATATACATTATTTACTTCACCCCCATGGGTTTGAAAAGATAGGATTATCTCATGATCGCACTATGCAGTGCCAGTGGTACGAATCGCGAATCTCACTGCACAAAAGTCAAAATTTTATTTAAACTTTATTAAAATTCCTTATAGAAAATACAATATACATAGTACATGCAATTCCCGCAACCTAAATATTTTCCAGAATTTTCCCCTCTTCTCAAACTCGCAACCTGACCAGCTTTCCCCACCACTAAAAATCAGTGATTTCAGGGCTGTATACTTTGACTACAGTTCATATAGGGAACAATATTCTCTACAACATTATAATAAATATGATAATTTATATCGTTGCTTTGTAATATAGTAATTCATATATAATTAATAATAACAATGTTAATGAATATTCATTACATCAGCTTGAGAAAAAATTAAAACGAAATAGACGAAAAATGAATTCAATTTATATTTGAATTCTTAATATTATTATAAATAATTTCCTCTCAGTAAAAAAACGATGCATTATTTTTTAACTGTTAAACATCAATAACTAAATAAATAATCATTTTATAATTTATTTTTATTAAAATTATGTGGATATTTTTGGAAATCCTTGTGTTCGATTTTTGGTATTAGTAAGTAGAAAAAATGCTTTTAGCATGCAAAATTTCAGAGCGATCCCTCAACATTTGTTTGAGATAATTTGTACAGAAGAAGCGGTGCCACACACACGCACACATACATCCGGATATTTGTTCCTCATGTCGAAATATAACTATATTAAAAATTTATTAAAATAATTTATTTTAGGAAGTTTGAAAATTGTCATCACTATAAAGCTTCCTACGAGGAAGCAAAAGAAATAAATATTGTATTATAAAGATGAAATTACATTGTTATGCACTCATAGGTGCATGTGATACTATAGAAATAAACGGTAACAACACATTTGAGGTTGTCACCCATATACCTAACAAACAACTCCTAGAATTTACATTCTGCGTAACTTATATTCAAGATTCACATGCATCTAATGTCTGGTAAAATTTTTTAAGAATACGACTTTAAGATAATTACAATTGATAACAAGAGAAAAAAGGTATTTAAAAAACAACCCTTATGATTAAAAATTAACACTTTTGTCTAATATTCTTCTAATAATAAATATTTATGATGTGTATAGAAACAACTAAATGTAAAACAAATGAAGATGTTTATGTCGATTAGTTTAATTATATTACTTTACTTACGTTACACAAATAATAAGCCCGTGTGGAAATGGCCCTGATAATAACAATTCGTTAGAGAGGCCGTGGACAATTTTTCTAGATTAATAAAAAAATATATAAATACAAGTTTTTAATAACTTTTTTTTCCAATACCGTTGTTAACTGTTAATAAAGATCATTATTTAACGGTTATTACAATTTTTTTTTCATGGCGTTTACCAGAAATTCTAGTGAAGCCCTTATAAGGGCATTTAAAAGTGTTACTTGTAAACGCCTTTCCAAAATGTGTGGCGTTTAACAGAATTTCTGGTGAGTGCTTTTACCAGGCTTTCACCAGAAATACTCGTCAATGCCTTAAAAAATTCTGGTCAAAGCCTTTAAAAGGGGTTTTACCATAAATACTCGTCAATGCCGTACAAAAATTCTGGTCAGAGCCATTAAAAAGGCTTTTAACAGAAATACTTGCCAACACCAAACTAGAATTTCTAGCCAATGACCTGAATGGGGCTTTTACAAGAAATACTGGCTCACGCCACAAAGAATTTTTCGCCAAATCCCTTAATAGGGATTTCACCAGAAATATTAACTAATGTCATATAGAATTTCTCGCCAGAGCCCTTAATAGGGCTTTCAATAGA